CATAAACAAACAAAAAAATTTGTGAAAAGTGTTAAGAAAATCTTATTTTTCCATGAGGAAAGATGCATATAAGTTAGTCCTTAAATTCCAACTGCATAATTTGTGGCACTGTAACAACTGTAACACAGCCAAACATCAACAATGACCTCAGGGCCTGTCTACCGAAATGATATCTGACTAAATCTAAATCTCTCCCTATGTAGTGATAAAAACTCTAAAATACAAACAAGCTACCTGTTAACTCCACTGAATTACCAAGGACAACCTGGTTGTTTGGCTGTTTAAACAGCTGACATTAGGGTCCTTTGAATAGGTCAAACTCAATAATACTGGTTTCATTTGCAACGTCAACTTAAAAGATAAAGAGGACAAGAAATATTAAATTCTATATAAATCTCATCAGACATATATATGATACCAAAAACTGTCTTTTAATGCAAAAGGTTTCCACATGCCATATATTTAATAAGAAAGAGTTCAAATGCCGCATGGACAGTCCAGTGTGTTATCTTTTTGCTTGCTCACATAACTCTTCTTTCGCACCTGTACATATTCTCAGGATTCTCAGGGGCTTTTTATTTTATTTCATTTTTTTCCCTTAGAAACCACTGAGGTAACACATTTCCTTTGTATATAGAGTATTACATAAGAAAGACAAAAAGGTAAATTGAAGAGTTCACACACTGTAGGCAAGACTTTCCTTCTGGGCTTCAGAAAGATGTGGAAACTTCACCTGAAGAAATTTTTATTCCTTTTTCTCCCGACTTTTCTTCCTTGCTCTGAAGGGCTTGCTTCCTTCCTCTTGGCTTCCTTGTCAAGTTTCAGTTCGACAAAACGTTCCACATAAGGCATGACGAGGAATCATTTCTTTCTGTCTTTTTTATTTAGGTTCCAAGGTTTGGCCCCTGATTGAACTCGTGCTGCGTGACTCTCCCAAAGACGTCTCTTCTCCAAGCACCAGGTCTAGCCTTCTTTTCACCAGTCTGAAGAAGCCTGAGAGCATCTCTTTCTGGACAACTTTGTCGACTGCATCTGTGGAATCTGCTGCCTTCTCCATCTGCTCTGGATTCAGTATTGGCAATCTCCACCATCTGGCCTCCTGCTCTATGGTGAAGAACATGTTTTTTTCTTTCAGTAGGACTGCTCCAGATTTTACTTTTTCTTCTTCCCAATTTTTTTGGTTCAAACACTTCCTCTGGTGCTTGTCTTGATGATGCAGTATGTAGCAATCTGTACTGATGAAAGGACATGACAAAGGACGTGACGTCCTGTGTTGGCAGGACCTGAGGGGTTATTAATGACCTGGACACCTTCAGGGCATCCGAGACTCTTCTCCAAAGAGCCAAACTGGCCACAGCAATTTTTTCTTCAACTCTCAGGGGCTTTGTAAACTAGGTCCTGATGTTAGATTGACTTCACTGTATCTTCCAGGGAAGTTATAGAGCAGTCAGTTTTCAAATCAGAATCATCTGCAAAGAAAAATAAAGAAGCATATCCTTTATCTAAAAGATTCCATAGTTAACTCTGTGGAAATCAGTAAAAGAAAGAGTTGAGGAATCAAGAATCAACAAAATGTATGTAAGCTACAATATACAATTATTATTGAAGAAAATTTGTCGATAGCTCTGCATTGAGTTAATTATCATTGTGGCTAAGGGTCAGAGCTTTTTTTCTCATTCTTCATGCATTTATTCAACAACCATGTGCTAAGACACTATGGAAAACACTGGGATTCCATGGTGAAGTTGGCACAGTACACTGTAACCTGAAAAAACCCACAGGCCACATCCACACAGACTCCCAGACACAATGACAGGCACAAAATGGAACACCATTAGGACACACAGAGGGACGTCTGTCCTAGCATCTTGTCAGTATTATAGGCTATTTGGTGGAGGTGACATGTAAGTTGACACATGAGGGGAAAGGAAAAAGTATGGCAGACAGAGGGAAGAAGCAAACATGCAGAGAGCTGGGTGAGGAAGAGCAATGGGGACTCCAGGGACTTCAGTGGGAGCAGAGGGCAGAGCATGGTCAGTGGCAAGAGCAAAGGCAGAATAGCCTGACAAGAACCAAACTGATGTGGCGTTTACATGTCCTGCTAAGGAATGTGGAACTTTTCTTGAGGGCAAAATTAAGCCAAATGACAAAGTGACTAGAGATTTAAAATCAACCTGTCAAGTGACTGCTGATCAGATGTTACTAGCTGAGTCTGGGTCTCTGGGCCTGACATCTCCACCACACAGCTGTGAAGCTGCTGATGCTGCCGCTTTCTGAGAACAGCATCAGTGAGGTGGCTGACCACTCCATAGGGACAGCACAAGTGAAGGAAGTGGACAGCCAGGAAAAAAGAGACACACAGAAATCTTGAGATATTTTAAAGCTATGGAACATGAGGGATTAATGAAGCATAAGTATACTCTACATGATGAATGTTTTAAGTTTCAGACCTTTCATGATATGTGTATGAGAAAAAGATACTTCATGTAGTATCTTTTGGCAAAACAATGGGAAGGAATGGCAGTGGGTATTTACTGGTTAATTCAGAAATCAACAATTAATCTAAATTCAAGTTATAAATTTTGGCAACATACCTTGTTCAAGTTTTCCAATCATATTTTTTTCTAACTCCTGCTGCACCTGAAATCAGTGAAAGATTCTTTATAATTTTTAAGTTAAATAAGAGACATCATCATGGAAATGACATATCACCTACAAAATGTGACCTGCAATTAATAGTTTCAGAGAGTTTACCTAACTTGAGGATCGCTTAAATAGAAAGATAATCACATAAATGAAATAAAAGTCCTAATCTAGTTTAAATAATAGAGAACCTATCTGTGTAATGCCCTTTTTAAAATCATATAAAAATTATATATTCTATTTATCATGAATCATTTCAGAGCAGTGAATGTTTTCTCTTATGAGTAGAAAGGCTAAAGAATTCAAGTTTGCAATGAATGCATTACTTTATCATTCTTAACCTCTGCACTTCATAAAAGTTTATTCTGTTTTTCTCTTTAATGAAATTTTTTCTCAAACTTTGCATTTTCCACCTTTAGAAAATTTATATTTTAAAGTATGTCAAATGCTCTTAACTTTTCAGCAGAGAATCTTAAACACACACATGAAGTATGTGGCACTGTCATAATACCCTGGAAAGTTCTACTGGAAGAAGAGTAAGCAAAATATTATGTTCTCTACATTACAATCAACATTTCTTTATTTATAAGGACACAAGGATTTCAGAAAATTTGCTTGAAAAAATATAGATTAGTTATTTGATTTATGACTTTCTAGAAGTAGAAATAAGGAAAAAATATAGAATTCTTTACTGTAACTCTGATATCTCTTTAGAAATTAGCATTATATTTCAGACATCTGAGTAATTATACTTAGTTGTGTTGACTTAATTATGAGATGTGTGAAATATTTCCAACTGTATTGCAATGTCTCCATCTAGACTGTTTTCAATCAAACCCATTCTATCATGGGCATTCTCTCTCACCAAATGCCCATAGCAGGGAGTGAAATAGAATAGCATACACATATTTTGTGGAGACAATGATAATACTCTATCCAATGCCTTTGCAAATTTTAGGTGTGAAGAGAAATTTTTTTGCCTAACAGGTTTACCAATATTGTGAGAGACTGTTTTCCATAATATTCCTCTGAGAATAACATTACAGAGAGGCTTTATAAAAAGAACAATATGGCAAAATTAGTATGAGTCTGGTCTTGAAAAAGAAATAACTCAATATCAAATAAAAGAAGCATTTGTCGAAAGTCTTATATTACCATCAATAAACACTATGCAAAATGTTCACTTTTACATGGCCTGCATTAAGGAACTACTAATGTTAATGTTAACTCTCTAGGTGGGGAATACTTTTTGTTAATCTTAACTCTCTGGATGGAGAATATTTTTTTGTATAGCAAAGTTAAGTGGAGGCATTAGTTTAGCCACTTTTTGTTTATTTCAGATTAATATGAGGGTACAAATGATTAGGCTACATTATTTTCATCCTTTTCTAAGGTAAAGTTCAAGTTGTAGTTGAGTCCTTCACCCAGGAGATGTACATATTGGGTAAGGTCCTGCCATCACCCTCCCTCCTCCACCTTCCTGTCTCTTTCCTCTCCCTTGCCCCTTGCTAGACTTTGGCTTGTGTTTTTTCTTTGGTGTGGGAGTGTAGTTATTAATCTATTGGTGTCATATTTGTACTGAATACATTGGATACTCTTTTCTCATTCTTGAGATACTTTATTAACAAGAATGTGTTTCAACTCCATACAGGTAAACACAATATATATAAAGTCTCCATCTTTTCTTATGGCTGAATTGTAATCCATGGTATACACATGCCACAGATTGTTAATCCATTCATGGGATGATGGGCCTTTGGGGTGCTTTCATGTCATGGCAATTGTGAAGTGAGCTACAATAAACATTCTGGTGCAAATGTATTTGTGGTACAGTGATTTTTGCTCTTCATATCTAGTAATGAGACTGTGGGATCAAATAGAAGGGTAATTTTGAGCTCTTTGAGGAATCGCCATACTTCTTTCTGCAGAGTTTGTATTAGTTTTCAATCCCACCAGCAGCTCAAAAGTATTCCCTTTTCTCCCCATCCATGCCAGCATCTGTAGATTAAGGACTTTGTGATGTGGGCTAATCTCACTGGAGTTTGGTGATAGGTCAGAGTGGTTTTGATTTGTATTTCTCTAATGATTAGCTTAGAGGTGAGCATTTTTTCATGTGTTTGTTGCCATTTTTCTGTCTTCTTCAGAGAAGTTCCTGTTCGAGTCTCTTGCCCACTTAAAAATGGGGTTGTTTGCTCCTTTCTTGTTGATTAGTTTGAGTTCTCTGTAGATTCTAGTTATCATCCATTTGTCCAATTCATAGCATGCAAATATCTTTTCCCATTCTGAGTGCTGTTTGCTATGGTTGTGGTGCCCTTAGCTGTGCAGAAGCTTCTTAGCTTGTGTGTGTCCCAATTATTTATTTTTAGTGTTGCTGCAGTGGCTAATTGGTTCTTCTTCATAAAGTCTGTTCCCAGGACAATTTTGTCAAGCATTTTTCCCACATTCTCTTCTAGAACTTTTATTGTTGTGTGTCTTAAATTTAAATCTTTTATCCACCAAGAGTCAATTTTTGTCAACAATGAGAGGTGCAGTTCCATTAATGAAAATTCATGCAAAAATATTCAATAAGATCCTAGCAAACAGAATATAGTGACACATTAAAAAAATTACATATCATCACCATGTGGGTTTTTTCCCAGGGATGCATGTTTGGTTCAACATATGTAAATGCATAAGTATCATCCACTACATAAATAAAATCAAAAACAAAGACCAATTAGTGCAGAAAAGGCTTTTGACAAAATCCAACATCCCTTTCTGACAAGAACACTTCAGAAAAGTAGGACACTGATAGAGGATATCTGCATCAAACACATAGCCAACATCATATTGAATGGAGTGAAACTGAAGCATCCACTCACAACTAGAACTAGACAAGGATACCCACTGTCACCACTGCTATTCAATATAGCACTAGAAATTCTAGCTGGTGCAATCAGGCAAGAGAAAGAGATTGGGGTATTCAAACAGAGACAGAGATCAAACTCTTGCTGTTTGTGGATGTCATGAACTTATACCTGGAAAACCCCAGGCTTTTGACTACCAAGCTCTTGGAAGTGATCAAGAAATATAGTGATGTCTTGGGACACAAAATCAATCTCCACAAATCAGAAGTTTTCATGTATGCCAAAAGTCAAGCTGAGAATAAAAGGCACAGTGCCTTTTGTGGTAGCTCCAAAGAAAGTGAAATACCTGAGAATATATCTAACAAAGGATATGAAGGATCTCTCTAAAGTGAACTATGAAGCCCTGAGAAAAGAAATAGAAGAAGATGTTAACAAATGAGGTAACATACCATGCTCATGGTTGGGAAGAATCAACGTTGTTAAAATTTCTATATTACTCAAAACAATCTATAGATTTAATGCAATTACCATCAAAGCACCAATGTCATTCTTTGAAGAACTTGAAAACATCATCCTTTGTCTCATATGGAACTAGGAAAAAACCCAAATAGCCAATCCAATTGTGAAAAATACTAGCAAATCTGGAGGCATCGTGTTACTCGACTTCAGGTTATACCACAAGTCTATAGTGATCCAACACCATGGTTCTGGCACAAAAATAGAGATCTCTGCAATACAATAGAGAACCTAGAGACAAACCCAGCCACATGTCACAGGCTCATCTTTGATAAACAGACAAATGCATGCACTGGGGAAAGAATTTCTGTTTAATGAATGGTGCTGGGGGAACTGGTTCTCCTAATGCCTAAAGCACACATGGAGTAGTTGCCTCTATCCCAACCCAAGAGTGGCCCCCTACATAAACTCTCTGTAGACTTTCACTGACCCCTGATTATTTGACCTCATGAATGACTGCTGAGAGCACCTGCCTGGGGAAGAAGCACCAGACCAGAGAGGAAAGCTCAGAGGGGAGGCGTAAATCCAGGTCCCAGGAAGGGAGCTTCGCTGGGAGGGGTACCCAGAAGCAACATCTTGAGTGTTGATAGGAATCAAAGATGTTTAGTTCTGGCTTCTAGGAGGTTGGGTGGTTTTAGCCATATTTACAGGTGACAGCTGGCAAAAATTAAACATCTTTTCAAAAGCCCCTTTCATTTTATTCTTGCTTTCCCATTAACTCACAAATTTTCCTATTTTTCTAAGCCAAAATTTAGAATTGTTGTCTCTAGATAAATGACTTAATACCATGCCTAGCACAGATTATGCAAGGAAGAAGGAGAGAAGAATGTCCTGGTGAAGTGAGATGTAGTCCTTTTCAGTTAGACAGGGGCCATAGCTGGCTTCAGATGTGTGCAGAGCAATTGCTTAGGAGAGACCGAATACTACAGAGGAAATACAAAAATTACTGAGCCGCCAATCTTCATCGCCTATGTCATAACAAATCAGGAGGTATGTTAATCTCCTGATGGAGTAAAAGATGTGAACTATTTTTTTTCATAAAAGCACTTGTCCTTTCCCCTGACCTTTCTGTTTCTTTCCAGATGGGGATTATATCTCAGGGGTAGGGGCAGCATAAGCCCCACAGTGATGGAGAGAGCATATCTGCAGGACCATTTGTCCTGTTTCATTGCAGAACAATACAAGAAGCAGGGGAAATTATACACAGGAGACAGTGGTAAATGTAATACAATTAAATTTTTCCATTTAGCCACTGCAATTCAATATCAAATTGTAAATAAGTTAATGTCTGAAGGAAATTATACTTGTCATCATGAAAATACCAAGGACATGCAGTTTGTCACAGAGAAAAGAACCAGGCAACAGTTTGTTATCTAGGAGCTGAAAGATAAGTACAGAGCCACATAGATATCTGAAGTGGGAAAAAAATGAATGAAAGAAAAAAAAGAGTTGTAAAAAGTTGAGAGACTGCCTGAACCTTTCAAAGGATAAAATAACTACTTATCACTTGGCTAATAGATAAAACAAAGCACAGACAGAAACAATCACATTGAGCATTTAACTGGTGAACAGGTTCATTAGGCTCTCTTTGCCTTCTGAGAAATGAGCATAACTACTATGCAAGCATCCAGAGTTAGAATTCAAAGGAGAGGCACTGCCATGGTGATGCAAACAGGTGTATTTTTAGTGCAGAAGACATGAAACTCAGCATTTTGTTGAGACATAATGTCCTAGTAGATGAAGGTCTGGTTGATGAAGGCCTAGTAGATGAAGACCTAGTTGGTCTTAAGCCTGTAGCTTTAGATTTGATGTACCCTAGAGACCACATAAACATAGCCAGTTGCTGAAACTTGAATTGACATGTGAGAAATAGAAAAATCACTGAAATCATTCAAAATTTTTGAATGCGTCAGTGCCTGAATAGAAAACTAAGGAATATATAAATTAGTCTTCCTATTTAAGACATTTAGAAAACATTGACTAAGTGATTTTTGTGTGTCATGCATTGTGTTAAGCAGACAAGTACTAAATGACTCCTAAAAACACAAAAGAATTTAAACCACATAAGTTTTATCTTTTATCTTTTATAAAATTGAAATAAGCTGCTGGGCACAATGGCTCATGCCTGTGATCCTGGTGCTCTGGGAGGTGAAGGTGGGTAGATTGTCTGAGCTTAGGCATTCAAGACCAGCCTGAGCAAGAATGAGACCCTGTCTTAAAAAAAAAAATTGGAATTAAGTTTTATGACTTCAATTATCAAAATAGAATTACATGTGCAAAAGTATCTAGTGATTTATTTGTTCAGGATAATTTTAATTTTCATATTTTATAATACAATTGAAAAGGAACCAATAAAACTAAGAAATTATTTTTGGTTTTTGATGTGGTCTTTGTAAACCCTGTTTACAAACTCTTTATGTCTCTTAAAATCGTACATTATTTGATTTTTCTGATAATAAGCACAGAGAATATTACGTATTTGCATCAGGCACAATAATTTACAGAAGTTCTCACCATATGTTATCTTTTTGTATCCAGTTGTCCAATTTTGTGACTTTGAAGCAGTTTAACCCTGATTTTCTCATTTTATCAGAAAAAAGGAGGCAAAATTGAGCTAACAAGATGATGAAAAATATGTGCTCCTTGTCCTCCATATTTTACTATGGCTGAGCAGTGCCCCACATCCACCATATTTTACTATGGCTGAGCAATGTCCCACATCCACCATATTTTATTATGGCTGAGCAGTGCCTCACGTCCACCATATTTTACTATAGCTGAGCAATGCCCCACATCCATCATATTTTACTATGGCTGAGCAATGCCCCATATCCACCATATTTTACTATGGCTGAGCAGTGCCCCACGTCCACCATATTTTACTATAGCTGAGCA